CGGTCAGTTCCTCGCTATCCCAGGAAGCCAGGAAAGGGCCATATACATAACTGCAGGTAAAAGGTCATAGGTGGCTCTGGGGCTTGGATTATTGGGTTACATGGGGGTCAGGGTGTGACTCATGAAGAAGTGACCCTGAGTCATAGTCACCAGGACTCCAAATTTCAATGTCAGTTAGATAGCATGCATCTGATTGGCCATTTTAGTAACTGCCTAACTTTAAAGTTAGATTCCCTAGTTCTTTATATGAGCACTTTCTGCAAACCTAGTTAATTAGCATTCATCCACACTCTTCCTGGGCATGAACTGTCCCTTACTGGGCTTTACCCTCTAACTTGTCGTTTTGTTGGTTTAATGATCAGCAAGCATTGGGGAAGTAACATAAAGAGCATAAAAGACAATTAGACTTACATTCAGACGTGAAATGGAATTAGGGTTCCCATTGTTGTTAAGTGTCGTGGAGTCAGTTCTGACTCACAGCAACTCTGTGTAGGGTTTCCGAGGAGCGGCTGGTGGGTTTGAACCGCTGACCCCGTTGCTCAAACTGACCTTGCAGTGCATTATCCTGCAGTGCCACACCAGGACTCCAATATTATCAGTATTTACACTAATTACCTTACTGATAACATAAAGTCAATTGACACATTTTGTATGTTGTATGTGCTATATTACTGTATCCACATAGAAACGGCAGTTTCAGTATGCTATAAAAAGGTATTTTTGCAAAAAGTGCAAGTTTTTTGCCCTTTTGCAAAAAAGAGTTAGGGGTTGCTGGTTCCAAAACCATTTCCACTATTACTTGATTGCACCATATGTGCCTTCTTTGCACACCTGCTGGCCAGTGGGTGCTTAGTCATTAGCTAAAGTTTCACACATTTCCTTTTCTTTCTTTTTTATAATCATCTTTATGTTGGGTTCATTTTTCTTGAAATGGTGGGAAACCATAGCTGCAGACCTCAATCTGTGGTACCTACCAAGCCGTTCATCATTGTCTTGTCCTGTCATGACTGCTCTCTGCTTCTTGGGAGCACGTCCAGCATCACTAGTGGCACTTTGTATAGGTTCCACTGTGGTATTCAAGGCTTACAGTATTGGCACTACACAGGATGAAAATAATGAAAGAACCTTTTCCTGCCATGTGCAGTGTACTGGAGTTGATGAGCTTCATTTCACACAGTGTTGCATGTAAGTGGGCCCGTGGGGGTCAGACCTGTGATGTTTAAGGGTCAGTTGTATTTCAGTTGTTGAGACACCTGGTTTCTGATTCATTGATATATTTCCTCTTCACCGTGGAGGAAACAGCCCGCACTCCAACCACAGCTGCTGGAATTTTCTTCATCACAACTTTGTTGCGGTCTAATACACTGACTATTTGCTCTACCCTTTTGAAGTCCAAAGTTTAGTGGTGTTTAGTGTTTTATAGGATCTTACAACCCTCTAATTCCAGAACTGTTTATCTCCCTAAAAGAAATCCCATACACATTTACATTCAATGCCACCCTAGCCCATAAGTAAGTATTAATGTTTGTTTGTTTGTTTTGTGTGTGCACATTTGCCTATTCTGTCTATTTTATATAACACAATGTATCATCTTTTATGCATAATATTTTCAAGGTTTATCCCTGTGATAGCATGTCAATACTTGTGTTTCTTTGAAAGGCTGAGTAATGTCCCCTGAATGCTCTGCCACATTTTCTGTACCCATCGTCACTTGCCTCTGATTGCCCACTCTAGGAGTGGACCTGTCTTGGGCTTGAGCCTTCAGGACTGGCAGAGCCTTGTACTAGGTTAGCATGTTAGCAAAGGAGTCCACTGTCCATTCTGTTAGTAGGTACCATTGGAAGAAAGGCCCGGAAGTCTGTTTCCAAAAACCAGCTGTTAACAACCCTGGGGAGCAGAATTCTATGATGCACGTGGGGTCGCCATGACTTGGAATGATTTCAGGGCAGCCGTTCAACTGTTTGTTGTTTTTGCCCTCCAAGTAAATACCTTCAAGAGTGTGGTGGCTCTAAAGCATAAGCACTGGACTGCTAACCACAGGGTCCGTGGTTCGAGCCCTCCAGTTGCTGTATGGGAAAAATGTGAGGCTTTCTGCTTTTGTAAAGATTTTGTTGTTGTTTGTTGTTAGGTGCCATCGAGTTGGTGCTGACTCATAGGGAGCCTATAATAGAACGAAACTCTGCCCAGTCCTGGGCCAACTTTGCAGTTGCTGCTCTGCCTGAGCCTATGGCTTCTGCCACTGTGCCAATCCATTTCATTGGATGTCTTTCTCTTTTTCTCCGACCCTCCACTTTCCAAATACAATATCCTTTTCCAAGGACTGGTCCCTTTATATACAACCTCAGAAATCCTATACAGGGCCTGTGTGAGTCAGAACAGACTCGGCAACACATAACAACAATAGATATCATGCCAGTCTCTGTCTAAACAGAACACTGCCCTGGTGTGGCATTGCTGTCGTTTTGCAACCTGCACTTGATACTGAGTTAAGGTCCTGGAACTCATGGGGTCCCTGGATTTCTGCTTTGTTGTTGGTTTGCAGGACAGTACCCTACAGTACCTGGAACTTCCTGCCACTGGAAAGCTGGGACCTTCACCCATGTGCCCCAGGCTACTGAATGCCATGGAGCAATATGAGTCCGAAAAATCCTAAGGTTATGGAGTTTTAATTGTACCAAGTAAGGATATTTCCTACCCTGTTGGCCATCGTGACAGAAAATAACTGTGGTTTCCTTACCAGGAGAATGTAAAGACTACAAATGTAAATGCATTTGCCTTTGTGAAAAGCCAGTATACTGTGTGTATTTTTCTGTATGTTTGCTATGTGCCACTTCAAAATACATTCAGGTGTGTGAAGTGATATTTGGGAACCACAGGCTTACAAACTCAGCATAAATCTTTATTTGAAAAGTAGAACCTTCACTTGGTCGGTTATTTACTCTGTGTGACGCCAGATACCTGCTTTACACAGATGATCTGCCTTCTCCACTGAATTAACTGTTCCCGCGGCTGTGTTTGGCTACAACCTTCTGTACATTGCTCCTCCCTTGGCTGGGAGGGTTTCTTGTAGAATACAAGTGGGGCAGGACAGCCATTCTAGGATGATGAGTATAAATGTGAACTTACCTTTAAAAGGTTAAAAAGAAACCCCAAAACTATCATCCACAAGGGAAGAATGGGTCCTTTTTGCAAGTGTAGTGGATGAGTTTTAGATTATGCATCTAGATTCTAGCATGGTAGTTCTGGTGTGGTGCTGGAGTCTAGACACTGGACTGCTAACTGCAAGGTTCTTGGTTCAAACCCACCAGCTGTTCATTAGAAATTCTATATGAGTCAGAACCAACTTAACAACAGCAAACACAGGAGCCCTGAAGGGATTTCTGTTGATTCTGTCTCATCTAAGTTACAGTGTCAAATAATACTAGGGCTTTATCCTAAGGTAATTTTGGGCTGTCACATGGACACATTAACTGCAGTAATTGGGCCAAAGCAGCCATCGGGATGGACAATGCGCTGGACACTTAGATGAGGTGTAGTCATAACCTCTATCTCATGGTTGGACAGTCTTGTTCAGTGACTCTGCTGACAAACTCCTCGTCTTTCCTTGTCTATTGTCTTTGTTTGTATGTTTATATAAGAATCACAACTTGACAGCCAGAAAATATATAATAAAGCTCACATCCCAAGATTTTCTCCAGGTGTTGGTGATGTACATGTTACATTCACTCAGCAAGTATGTGCTGATCACCCTTACGTTGTTGGCAAGTGCCGTTGAGTCTATTCGGCCTCATAACCACCTGGTACAGGCTTTCTCAGGAGCGGCTGCTGACCTTGTACAGGTTCACTGTCCAGTGCTTATCCTGCAGCGCAACCCAGACTCGGATCAGTGTTCTAAGTGCTCTAATGTATACAAAGGTGTCTAAGGCAGTACCGACACCGAAGGATTGACAATGGAGATGAAAGGTATTCTGTATAGAGCAGACATTAATACACGGGGTAAGTTCCTTAAAGGTGGGTTCAAATCCTGTGTCAAATCAGAGGAACAGATGGAAAACCAGTGATGCAGGAAGGCTCAGGGCCATAGGAATTACTTTGCGTCTGTGGCAGAAAGCTCCCAGCTTTCTCTAAATTAGCATCTGCATTCTAGAAAAGTAGTGGGAGGAAGGAGGCTAGAGGCACCAACAAGGAATCAGCTTTTGTAGTAGGCCCAGCCCCCTTGCAACCTCATTTTGTGTCTGCTTGTTTCTGAAGTCTGTGCAAGGATATGTGTCCAGCATACCTGACAACGGTGAGGAAATGATATGGATGCCCGCTGTGGTGGAAGGCAACGACTTGGTAGGGACGTTGTTTTCTCAGGCAGCAGAGGCCTTTGACTGGAAGGAATCACAGGTTTTCATGATTGAAAGTTTAGTATCCTTACCCTAGTACACAATTTTTGGTCAGGGACTAACATATTCTCCGTAACATCTGAACTGTTGTTTGAAAAATTGCCGGAATTCCTTGCAAAAGCTGCCTAGTGAGACTACAGTGCAGTCATATTGTAACCATGGAAATCTTGCATTAAACAAGAAACACAGGTTGATTGGGCTGTTATTACTGTCAAGGTCCTTTACCATTGGATTTAAAATGTTTACAACATTTCAATTTGATAGCAAAGCAGGCTGAGGCTCAGAGAAGCTAGGAAAAGTTCCTTGGTGCAGACAAGTGTTTGAAATGGACTTTACCATTTATGCTAATGTACAGTATGGTGCTGTGGGATAACACTGGGCTACTGACTCCAAGATCGGCATCTCAGACTCACCAGCCACTCCTCAGAAAGCTTATTCAGGATTGCTATGAGTCGGAACTGACTCCAAGGCACTTACCAACAACTTGGGCATCATATTATGCTACTTAGCTTTGTTTGTGTTGGAGCTGGTATAAACTATGTGCGTATGTGTGTGAGTGTACATTTGAATTATTTTATTACTATTTGTTTGTTTTTTTGTTTTCATTACCAGGCTACTTCTAGAGCTGCTGGAGTTACTCTTTGACAAGTTTAACGCCGTGGCCGCTGCCCACTCTGTAGTCCTGGGGTATCTGCAGCAGATGGTTGGGCCTTCCGTGACTCATCAGGAAGAGATCAAACTGTATGACATGGCAGATGTATGGGTGAAGATCCAAGATGTCCTGCAGGTAGGGCTTGGGGGGCAGGGGTTTAGGCCCCGGAGGGAATAGCCTTCTGAGAACATGGTTGCCGAGAGACTAAATGACCAGGAACCACTTTGAGAGACATTAGTTTATTACAGCAAAGAAAATAAGAGAGATGGTTTGCCAACAGGGAAATTAACCAGGATGAGGATGGTGTCTCCAGTGGCAGCCGACTGGACAGTTAAGATTTTTCGTTCTGGTGAGAGCGTGAGGGTCTCTTTTTATGTTGTGTGATAAACAAGCTTTGTTTTCCAGGCAGATTGGGAGGACGGCTGTATGAGCTGAGACTTGGAGACAAAAAGCCAAAAAACTAGTCCTGCTCTAGCTGCTTGCTACTCCGTAGTAGATAGCGAGTGGTGTGTGGGAACACAGAGCCCTGGTATGCAGGATCATATGCTGGAGGGGAGGGAACAAGAAGGGATGAGAAAGGCCCTTCTCCTGAGTCCCCATTAATGTGGCCATTTCAGAGCTTTTGTCTTGTGTCTCTACAACGGGCCTTTTGCAAAGGGTGTCACCTTGATTCCAAATACCATAACATAATGACGAGCAGGACCTACGCTTTGACCTTAAAACCATACTCAGACCGAGCATGCTCTTCTTCAGTTTAATGGGTATGAAGCTGATGTTGTGAACTTTTGTCAGATAAAAGACTTTTTAATAAAACATTTTTTGTTTGGTTTTTGGAACAAGCTGTGCAAATAGGAACAGATTTTCATTATGTAGCTAACAACGATGTTCTAGCATTAGGTTTGGTAGTTGAAGTATATTTTAACCCTTTCATGGCCTGTAGGATATAGAATGCTCCTGTATCCTCAAGGCTGGTTTGAAGTGTCAGGTTTGTGTTCTAACTCACCAGCCATTCCTTGGAAACCCTATGTTGTTGTTACGTGCTGTGGAGTCGGTTCTGAGGCTGTAAATCTTTACAGGAGCAGAATGCCTCATCTTTCTCCTGTGGAACAGCTGGTAGTTTTGAACTGCTGACCTTGTGGCTTGCAGCCCGATTCGTAACCACTACGCTACCAGAGCTCCTTGGAAACCCTATACAGGGTCTCTATTTGCCAGAACCAACTCAACGGCACTTAACAACCACAAATATTTTCTTACTGGGGGTTTAGTAAGAAACGTTTATCCCACGTTTAGTATGTGATGCTATCTGGGAAGGGCCAGTATTATTATCTGAGTCTGAAGAAACGGGACTCATTCTGCCAACCCCATCAACAAAACCCCTCGGGACAAACGTGTCCCGCAACTTTATAAAAATATATTGTTGTTGTTATTAAGTGCTGGTGAGTCAGTTCTGACTCATAACAGCCTATATAGCATTTCTAAGGCACGACCTGTGAGTTTGAACCACCAACCTTGCAGTTCAAACTGACCTTACAGTCCAACGCTTATCCTAAAGTGCCATACCAAGGCTCCAAAAAAATCCATCATCTCAAAGGAAAAAAAAATTTTTTTTTCTTCATTTCATTAAAAATGTCTTCCATTATCCTGAACCTTCTGAGGTGGGACATACACACCAACCTGGAGTAGCTGGAGGAACAGAGGATACTTCTTGAAAGAAAGAGCAGCAAGTAAAGAGGCAAAGAGAAAAAAAAGGTACACTGTCTAGCTATTACAAAAATAAGCAAGCTGTTTGCCTGGGAGCCATCAAGTCAATTCAGGACAAGCCCCCTTCCAAGATTGAAACTCAAAGGGAGCACACGAGCAGGCTGGTGACCATGTTGGTCTGCTTGTGAGTGGAAGTGGGGGAAAGGCAGGAAAGAAGACTTGGGCTGAGTTTGATCATGTTCCATGGACTCCTTTCTACCTTGAGATGAGAAAGAGAAGAGGATGGGCTGGTTGGACCGAAGTTTGGGGAGACTTGGGAACCACTGAGCTCATGGACACAGACCTGGCCACTGGGTGGTGGAGCTGAGAGTAAACTGTCCAGCTGAAATGAAGTGGGTGGAGGTACACAAGAACTCCCAAACTTGCAGAGAGTACATATTTGACCTAGGTTGGATAGCTTGATGATCAAAACTTGACTAGAGGAAGACAAATTTGATACAGGAAGCAAGTGCAAATTGCTACAATTTGTGAACTTGACCTTGACTTATAGATGTTGTAGTACAAAATACCAACTGAGAGGGAAGGACTCTTCACATCAAGGATCAAGCATGTCCCCTCAGTACACTTGTAACTCACACATTGGCTAACTAAAATGGGGGTGTGATGAAGGCACAAAGTGTCTCGCTTGCAAGTTTTCATGAAGAAGTTTAGTTTCAAAGTGAAGGTAGAATCCCCATTGAATAGTTTCCATCTTGTCTAAATGGGTCTGGTGAAAGGGGATGGGGACCTTCATAGCATTCCAAGAAAATGAAGATCCAAGAAGAACATGGAAACATTAAAACTAAGAAGAAACTGACAAGAAAGAATACTAAAAACATGAATTCAGCACAAGATGGCATACAGAACAAAAGAACCAAAATCACCAAAATCACCAAAAAAAAAAAAAACTAACATAATGACAGCAATTAAGTCGTACCTATCGATAATTACACTATCAATGGATTAAATGCACCAGTTAAGAGACAGAGAGTGGCAGAATGGATAAGAAAACAGGACCCTTCAATATGCTGCTTGCAAGGGACACACCTTACATACAAAGACAAAAACAGATTAAAAGTTAAAGGATGGAAAAAAATATACCAAGCTAATTGCAATAAAAAATGAGCAGGAGTAACAATACTAATCTCTGATAAAATAAACTTTAAGGCAAAAACCAGCATAAGAGATAAAGAAGGATATTATCTCATGATTAAAGGGTCATTCGAACCAGATGACATAACCATAATAAATATCTATGCTCCTAATGACAGAGCCCCAAGATATATAAGCAAAACCTAGAATTGAAGAAAGAAATAGATAAATCTACAATTATAGTGGGATATTTTAATATGCTACTTTTGAAAAAGGACAGAACAACCAGAAAGAAACTCAACAAAGATACAGAGGAATAAACAGCATAATCAACCAACCTGATTTGATTGATGTGTACAGAGATGTGCAAAGAGCATTCAACCCAACAACAGAACAATACACATCCTTTCCCAGTGCTCATGGAACATTCTCCAAAATAGACCATGTATTAGGCCACAAAACAAGCCTCCATAACTTTACAAATATCAAAATTCTACAAATCTTCTCAGACCACAATGCTATAAAATTAGAAATCAACAATAAGATGACCAAAGAAATAAAGTCAAATACTGAATAATAAATGGGAACCGAATAACACTCTACTGAAAAGCAACTGGGTAGTAGAAGAAATTAAACGTGAACTCACAAAGTTCCTAGAAACAAATGAGAATGAAA